TCATTGCCATCAAGTCAATTCTGACTCATAGCAACTCCCATTGAGTTTCTAAGGCAGTAAATCTTTAAGGACGTAAATTGCCCCATCTTCCTTCCATGGAGCAGCTGGTGGCTTTGAACCACCAACCTTCTGGTTAGCAATCAAATGCCTTAGGCACCATGCCACCAAAGCTCCGTGTGTGTGTGTGTGTGTGTGTGTGTGTGTGTTTGAGCTTCACTGGTTTTGTTCTTTAGGGAACCAGTCTAACACAAGAGTCTTACTCTTTTTCACTGATCCTCTACTTTACCAAACATAATATCCTTCTCCAGGGACTGTTCCCTCCTGATAACATGTCCAAAGTTTGTGAGACCAACCCTTGCCATCCTCACTTCTAAGAAGCATTCTGGCTGTACATTTTCCAAGACAGATTTGTTCTTTCTTCTGGCGGTTCATGGTATATTCAGTATTCTTCACCCACACAACCACAATTCAAATGCATCAGTTCTTCAGTCTTCCTTATTTCTTATTCGTATGAGGTGATTGAAAATGCCATGGCTTGGGTCAGGCACACTTTAGCCCTCAAAGTGACATCTTTGCTTTTTAACATTTTAAACGCAAAATGCAAAAACATTTTGCAGCAGTTTTGCCAGTGCAATAAATTGTTAATTTCTTGACTGCTGCTTCCCTGGGCATTGACTGTGGAGTCATGTAAAATGAAATCCTTGACAACTTCAATCTTTTCTCCGTTTATCATGTTGTTGCTTTTAAATATATGAAAAATCTTTCAAATATATGAAAAGCATCACATTGGAACTTTTGTGTGTTGGCTGATTTTCAAGTAGGTGGGCATTTGGGAAGAGGATATGTGGTGTCACAGTGGTTAACTAAAAGGCTGCTGACTAAAAGGTCAGTGGTGTAAGGATTTTTGTTTTTGTTATGTTGAAGTATTATCCATACTGAAGGCTATAGTCTTTGATCTTCATCAGTAAATGCTTCAAATCCTCTTTGGCTTTCAGCAAGTAAGGTTGTGTCATCTGCATATTGAAGGTTATTAATGATTCTTCCTCTAATGTTGTTTGTTTTTTAAGTTAAATAATGTGCCTAATAGTAACTGCAACCAGTGGTATTTTTCAATGCTCTGAAAACACTAGTCATTTTATCAGATAATTGGTTCCCCAAGAGATTATTAAAATGTGTTTGGTAGATATAATGCACTAAAACTAGATTTACTTGAGCTATGGAAATAAAATTATATTAATATAATGACTGGTAAAGTCTGTCAAGCAGACCAACACTGTTACTTAACAAAATGCATGTGGATGGAATCCCAAAGCAAAGTTTATATGACACCTCATTCCTTCAGTGCTTAAATGACTTTGCTAGGAATAATGCTTCCAAGCTGAGTTGGAGAAGAAATGGAAATGTAATCCAAATCTTTTAAATATATGAAAAGCATCACACTAGAACTTTTGTGTGTTGGCTGATTTTCAAGTAGTTGGCATTTGGGAAGAGGGTATCTGGTGTCACAGTAGTTAACTAAAAGGCTGCTGACTAAAAGGTCAGTGGTTCAAGCTCACCAGTGGATCCATGGAAGAAAAATGTAGTAGTCTGCTTCTGTAACTATTTACAGCCTTGGAAACCTCTGAAACAATCTGAATCAACTTGAAGGCAATGGATTTGGACATTTGGGTGAGAGCTCTCTTAGGATCATTGGGATGTTGGAAGGCACAGAGTGAAAGCTGTTGAAAGCTAATTGCTATTAAATGGCTCAATAAGAGCACCAAAAGACCACCAGAAGGTTTCCAACTTTTCTGCTGAGTAGAAGGAAGCCCACACAATAGTAACACCTTAGTCTCAGTTCCCCCAAAGCCAGGCCCATATTGCTTTCTTCTTTTCCTCTTTCAATTCAGCGTAGCTCAAAAAGTACATTGAAGTGCCTTCTTTGCAAGGAGTTATGGTGGCGTAGTGCCTAAGGCATTTGACTGCTAACCAGAAGGCTGGCAGTTCAAACCCACCAGCCACTCCTCAGAAGGAAGATAGGGCAATATACTTCCCTAGAGATACCACCTCAGAAACCCAAGGAGGCGTCACTGTGAGTTGGATCTGACTCAAAGGCAGTGAGGTGGTTTTTTGTTTTTGTTATTTTTAATTCACTAGGATGATTACAGGGAGCTCTGGTAGCATAGTGGCTAAGGCACTTGACTGCTATCAAGAAGGCTGGCGGTTCAAACCCACCAGCCACTCCTCGGAAGGAAGATAGGGCAATCTACTTCTGTAGTGATACTGCCTCAGAAACCCAAGGAGGGGTCGCTATGAGTCGGGTCTGACTTGAAGGCACATAACAACAACAACAGGATGATTACAAAGATGAATGGGATGTAGCCCCTGCCCTGCTCTGAGAAGACAGTCATATGAACAAATACTTTTAAATACAAGGGAGATTAAAATATGTCCTTATGTCCCTCCACAACAACGCAAGTTCTGAGAAAGCCAAAACAACAGACCCACTGCCATCGCGTCAACGCCAACTCATAGTGATCTCCATTGGGTTTCTGAGGCAGTAAATCTTTACAGGAGTAGATTGCCCAGTCTACCTTCAGTAGAGTAGCTGAGAAAGGAGCTATTAATTCCTAAGTAAGGCTTCAGAGAATGCCATATGGAGGAGATGGCATTGGAGAAATATAAGGATTTTGAGTAAATTAAAGGGAAGATTATTCCAGACCAAGAATAGCGGGAGCAAAGCCATGGAACTGTTTTGGAGGTAATGTGTGAGTTAAAGTAACCTCATGTGATTTTTATAGATTGGGATATATAGTGGGATATGGGCTTGAAAGACACTTGGTCCCAGATGACAGAAGGCATTGAATGAGAAGTTAGGTATGATTTTATGTTCTGAGCAGTAGGGAACCCTTGCAGGTTTTTTAAAAGGTTGGTATTATCTGTTGTATTAGGAACATAACATTGGCCACAGCATGGTAGATACCCTGGTCCCCAGCATGCTTAGTTGCCATATGCATATGCACGTAGCTACCTCCCCATCCCCACAGCCTTCCTCTCTCTTTCATTTCTATTGACTATGCCCACACCCACTGTCTTAGTTATCTATTGCTGCTATAACAAAAAACAGCACAAGTGTATGGCTTTAACAAACGGAAATTTATTTCTCAGAGTTTAGGAGGCTACAAGTCCAAATTCATGGTGTTGGCTGTAGGGGAAGGCTTTCTCTCTCTATTGGCTCTGAGAGAAGGTCTTTGTCTTCAGCTTCCATTTCCTGGTTACTTGGAGATCTTCATGTGACTTGGCATCTATTTTCCCCCTATTTCTGCTTGGTTAATCTCCTTTTATATCTCGTAACAGATTAACTCAAGACACATCCTACACTACTCCTTCCTCATTGATATAACAAAGACCATCCATTCCCAAATGGGATTATAACCAGAGGCGTAGAGGTTAGGATTTATGAGACACATTTCTGAGGGACATGATTTAATCCATAACACCCACCATTGATACCTCTCCTCATTTTTCTTCATTGATAGTTAGCAAAGGAAAATGAGGAACCAATGGCACATTTTTTTTCTCTGCAACTCTGCTAAGAATCGTAGTGGGCCGGTTAGGGAATAACATGCTCATGAATACTGCTTCTGAAAATGGAAAACTAAGACCCTAGGGAGTGGGAATAGTCCATGAGTGGTACAAAAGGTTAATGAGCTCAGCCACTAACTGAACAGTTGGACATCTGAGCCCACCCAGAGGTAGAACCCACCCAGAGGCACCTCAGAAGAAAGGTCTAACATTCTACTTCTAAAAACTCAGGCTTTGAAAACATGTGTTTTGACACACATGGGGTCTCCATGAGTCGGAATCAATTCCATGCCAACTGATTTTCTAGAGCGGTGGGAGGAGTGCAGGGCAGATGAGTTCTTCATGACAAGAAAGACAGCATAGAACTGTCTACCAGGCTGAAACTTGAGTTAAGAAGCCTACACACACACACACACACACACACACACACACACACAAAGAAACCTACAAAATTTTGAATGGCTCTCAGATAAATATGTGTTGTAGAGGAGACCAACATTTTTGTAACCATGAGTTTTGTTGCTTTATTTCAGAGCGCCAACCAGGCATTTCCATGGCCAATTCCAATGCCCTTCCTTCAAGTACAGCTGGGATCAGCAAAGAACTGATTGATCTGCAACCCCTTATCCAGTTCCCAGAGGAAGTTGCCAGCATTCTGATGGAGCAGGAGCAGAATATTTACCGAAAGGTCTTGCCAGTGGACTATCTTTGCTTCTTAACCCGAGGCTTGGGCACTTCTGAAAGCCAGAGGTCCCTACCCTGCCTCAAAGCATCCATCTCAGCATCGATTCTCACATCCCAGAATGGAGAGCACAATGCCCTTGAAGATCTTGTGATGAGGTTTAATGAGGTAAGAAGTCACTTTTGCATATTTTTGTAATTGAATTGCCGATAAATGATTTTTAAGCATGATTTTCCTTGTAGGGTTGTCTGTTACTGGTAGCTTATCTACCTCTGTGTCTTGCTGCTTTCATGATGGTTGTTTTTCTTTCCAGGCAATGAGATAGACATACCACATTGTCATCCTCCCTCTCACTTCATTGCAACCTACGCTTAAGCCTAATTGATCTTATCTCCATCCCATATCATTACCAACTCCATCAGTCTTTCTCCCTTTGGATAAGACTTTTGATATCCAGAACTCACCTTTTTCCTACTCTTGCCAAAATATTCTGTTTGGACCCAATTTTTAATATACTACCTCTTGTTCCCACAGGTGCTTTTAGACCAGATGTCTCAATTTTGAGATTTAAAAACATGGTCTTTGACCACACTATCTATCCCACCTACTCTTCCACCATCAGACCTCGTTAGCAGAAACTCAGGAACCAACACATCTGAGTTAGGACAGTTGGGAGGAACTGTGAGCTTGAGGGTCACTGAACCACCCTCACTGACTGAACCAGAAGGCTGGCGGTTCAAACCCACTAGCCACTCCTCGGAAGGAAGATTGGGCAATCCTACTTCCGTAGTGATACTGCCTTGGAAACCCAAGGAGGGGTCACTATGAGTTGGGGCCGACTCGACGGCACATAACAGCAACTCTACTAGAAGTCGGTTATAAAGTGGGAGGCTCGATTGGAATCAGGAGATTAGGAGAGAGGCTCTGCAAGGGGTTATGGACTCAGTGGAAGGTAAAGAACTGATAGCTGTGCATCCCTATGGGGCTGGGGTAAGTAAGAGGGGCAGGGGACAGGTAGGTCTCTATGCAATGTTGTGATCAGGGATTGCTGTCTGCTTGGGCTTAAAGAATACTTTCTCCCAGTAATATAACCCTTCACCAAGAGTTTTGTAATGTGCATTTTATTTATTTTAGACTTAATTTCTTTTGCCTTGAATATTAAAACACACAATTCCAATCTATATACTTTTTTGTTGTTGTTGTTGTTAATTCAACTCCACAAATACAATTGTTTCCTATTTCAGTCATTTAGTAAACTCCAGCTAATGCTTAGGAGGATGCCCCCATTCTGGGCCATCTATACCTCTCACTGACAGAGGATAGATCAGCCTTTGCTATTTAAACACTTTCTAACTATAACAGCCCACTTGAAGTCTCCTTGGCCTGCCAATCATGACATTGATAACATCATGACTAGTGACCATGATAAGGCCCAATGAATGCAGAGAGTGTTAGAGGCTGAGCTGAAACAGTCCTGTACCCAGACATATCCTGAACACTATTCCTCAAAAAGAGATTCCTTACCCTTATGAATAGCTGATGTTCATCTAGCTCTGTCATGCTGCTAATTTTACATGTACCACTTACATGCTTTTCACAACAACCTGTCATAAGCTCCATTTTACCAAAGGGGAAACTGAGGCACAATTAGACAAAGTTGTATGCCCAAGGTTACGTAGGTGGTAAGTGGTAATACTGAGATTCAAAGACGTATAGTTGGCCCCAGAATCTGGGCTTTGAACCACCATTGCTATCCTGCCTCTCCACTCAGGCTTGTATTTGTAACACCATATACCAGTTGCTATCGAATCAATTCCAGCTCACAGTACCCCATTTGTGTCAGGGTAGAACTCCATAAGGTTTTTAATGGCTGATTTTTCAGAAGTAGATCACCAGGCCTTTCTTCCAAGGCATCTCTGGGTGGATCTGAACCACCAACCTGTCAGTTTGTAGCTGAGTGTTTTACTCTTTACATCACCGAGGTACCATGTTGGAGGTAGTGCTTGCTAAAACTGCAGATTCCTAGTACCACCCCCAACTGAGTAAGACAGAATCTCTGGGAGTCCACATGAGAGCTTGAGAACTGTGCTGCCCTCCAAGTTGCTTTTTAAAACAAATAGCCTGATGTTCTAGATTTTCCTTACTGATAAAAAATGGAGTGGAGACTGAAAGTTCCAGTAAATTGAGTGTGGATTTTGTTAGTGGATTTTACAGTATTTTATTTTAAACTTCTAGGCCTACTCAGTATCAAATCCTTAGGACTCTATTCCTGTCTCTTTTTCTCTCTCTTTTTTTTTAATCCTACCTGAATTTAAAAGGGATTTTCCTGGACCTTTAAAATCTAATTCTAAATCAGTTGCAGAGAAAGAAAACACTTGAGTTTCTTCTGCTTACTGCCATAAGTTTGGGAATCAAATATGAATCAGTGATTGCACTAATTCAGATTTAGTGATATCATGAACCACAGCTGGGTTGAGGCATACTTTGGACTATCTCTGAAAATAGCTTAGCTAACCAACTTCAGAACATAAACAAGGTTTCTGGGAAAACACTTCAACTACTTGAGAGAACAGTCTGTTTTCAAGTATTCTCAAGCATCTATTTTCATACAAATAATGGATTTGCTGATCAAAAATCAGTCTTCTATACTTATTGAAGGCAAATCCCAAACAATCTTCACTAGGCAACCCTGGGATAGCTAAATGCTAGCAGCTTTATATACCTTAGAGTAGAAAAGCTGCACTATATTAAAAGAGAATTCTTAAATTCAGATTTTCACCTGTTTAAAATGACCTTGCTTCCAAATTAGCATGGCTTTCCTTTTTGTAAGGGAAGGGGAATAAAGGCATTGGCATTTATTTACTAGGTGCTCTGGACTGGATATTTTCACATTTTTTAAATCTCATTTAATCCTATCACAGTTGTGTAAGACTGTTGTCGTTGTCCCTGTCTCACAAATGAAGAAAATGAAACTTACACAACAAAATAAATAATCACATAGTTGGATTATGACCCATAGAGTAAAATAAATATTCATGAGTCCATGATGACATAAATAATCGAGTAAATAAATAAATGGGAGAAAATGCAGCTTTTCATTAAGAAAAATTCCAATTAATAAATGTAGAAGAAATGAGGAAATAGAAAATCACCATTAGAGCACTCAGTACTAATTGTTGCAAACAAGAACTGCAAACAAATACTAAAATTATTGGGCAAAAGTGTGATGAGAAACAGGATATTTGCATAGTCTCAGTGTATCGCTACAGATAACTTATTAATTACAAGGGAAAATTAGTACAGTGGAGAACCCCAGCAGGCACTGCCTTAGCCAGGTGATGAAGGTTCACATTGCCAGTGATAAGACATAGTGACATGTACCTCCTGATGCACTAAGAAAAGCATGATGTCATTTCTATGGGGTTCTTGCCAAAAATGCATTATTTACATCTAATCATGAAAAGCTATCAGACAAGCCCTCATTGAATGAAAGACATTCTACTCTTCAAAAGTGTCAAGGTCATGAAAAGCAAGGAAAGACTGAGAAACTGTAAAAGACTAGAAGGGTCTAAGAAGACATGACAACTAAATGCAGAGTGGGATTCTATTGTATCCTGGACTAGGAAAATGACGTTAGTGGAAAAATTAGTGAAATTCTAATAAGGCATGTAGTTTAGTTGGTGTTATTGTATTGTTAACTTACTAGTTTTGACCATTGTGCTTTGGTGACGCAAAATGAGTAGCGTATACTGTAAATCTCTACTATTTTTGCAAGTTTTCTGTAAATCGAAAGTTACTTCAAAATAAAAAGTTAAAACAAAAACAGTGAAGCTCCGAGAGGTTGAATCATTTGCCCAAGATCACAGTGGCTAAGTTAGTGTCAGCATCTAAGTCTGTCTATCTTGGAAGTCTATTCTCGTCTCACTGAAGTGCCTCTTTACTTGATAAATTATCAAATTTAAGTTTGTAGTAAAAATAGTATTGCTGGTTGAGAGTTTAACTACCCTTAGGTCCCCTTTCTCTCTTCCCTTCCTCTCTACTTCTTTTCCAAATCTCCTGTATATCATCCTTTTTCTATTCCTCCTTTGTTTCTATTTTGATCCAATTTCCTATTGTCTAGAATTCATTTATTCATTCATTTACTCAACACATTTCTTGAGCACCTATGCTCTACTACTATGCTCTAGCCAGCTTCTCTTTTTATCATTGGTGTGTCGAACATATGTTTTAAAAATAAGAAATTAGCAATATATGATGAAAATTCACAGGATTATTAGCCCGTGCTTAAAGTCTATCATAACCGGGTACACAAAATAAATGCATTTGCCTCAGTGAAAGGAAAACATATATTCATTGGAGAATCTTAGAATATTAGCTCCATTGCAGCAGGGCTAGTTACTTAGTTAAGAGGTGAATGCCTTTATTCATGCCTTCAATCATTCAGTTAATGTGTATTCAGCTCTTCTCAGAAGTAGGGCACTGTGGTGCATATGCACTGAGGAAAGTGAAGTACAGTTCTTGGCTACCAGAGCTGCCAGTCTTAAATTGTAGTCAGGCATGGGCACAGATAACTACCAAAAAAGGTAGAAAGTAAGTGCAGTGTGAGTGGCATAGACAGTGAGAATGAAAGTGTCAAGAGATCATGTCCACATGGGTGATTACAGCTCTCTCTGCTGGCCCTGTCTGGAGTTTGGGGCTAGGCTTTGAGGGATGGAAGGGATATCCAGGGAAAATCATAGGGAAGGGAGAACAATCTAGACAAGAAGAAAACCAAACAATTCTTGTCATGAGCAAGATTCATGGTTAGGGAGGCAGCTTGCTCTTGATTATCTATAGAACATAACCATGAGATACAAGTTTCCCAAATTCCAACAACTCTTTGCAAAATAACTTAATTGTAATGTGGGGAAAGGGAAGAAAATTCCTGGAGCCTTTCGGGTAATGTTGCATAATGTTTGTTCTTAAGAAAGTATGGTTAAAATGCAGTGCATGAAGTAACTGAAACGGTTTGGCTTATATTAAGGTAAGCCAGGAGATAAATTGTTTAAAATAAATGTGATTAATTTCCCTGTGTTGCATATTACACATTATTCCAAAATATTCAAACTTTTTGTTTTGATACAACTACATTTTGACTTAACCTCTTAGAGAAGATGATGCCTGAACTG